AGCAGGGTGACAATATACAGCCTTGACATACTCCTTTTCCTATTTGGAACCAGTCTGTTGTTCCATGTCCAGTTCTAACTGTTGCTTCCTGACCTGCCTACAGGTTTCTCAAGAGGCAGGTCAGGTGGTCTGGTATTCCCATCTCTTGAAGAATTTTCCACAGTTTATTGTGATCCACACAGTCAAAGGCTTTGGTATAGTCAATAAAGCAGAAATAGATGTTTATATGGAACCTTCTTGCTTTTTTGATGATCCGGCGGATGTTGGCAATTTGATCTCTGGTTCCTCTGCCTTTTCTAAAACCAGCTTGAACGTCTGGAAGTGCACAGTTCACATATTGTTTAAGCCTGGCTTGGAGAATTTTGAGCATTACTTTACTAGCGTGTGAGATGAGTGCAGTTGTGTGGTAGTTTGAGCACTCTTTGGCATTGCCTTTCTTTTGGATTAGAATGAAAACTGACCTTTTCCAGTCCTGTGGCCACCGCTGAGTTTTCCAAATTTGCTGGCATATTGAGTGCAGCACTTTCACAGCATCATTTTTTAGGATTTGAAATAGCTCAACTGGAATTCCATCACTTCCACTAGCTTTGTTCATAGTGATGCTTTCTAAGGCCCACTTGACTTCACATATCAGGATGTCTGGTTCTAGATGAGTGATCACACATCATGATCATCTGGGTCGTGAAGATCTTTTTTGTACAGTTCTATGTATTCTTGCCACCTCTTCTTAATATCTTCTGCTTCTGTTAGGTCCATACCATTTCTTTCCTTTATTGAGCCTATTTTTGCATGAAATGTCCCCTTGGTATCTCTAATTTTCTTGAAGAGATCTCTAGTCTTTCCTATTCTGTTGTTTTCCTCTATTTGTTTGCACTGATCATTGAGGAAGGCTTTCTTATCTCTCCTTGCTGTTCTTTGGAACTCTGCATTCAAATGGGCAACAACAATAGGAGACACATACACTGAGTATGGGAAGAAATGTAACCAAATCATTTCTTTATTACTAGAATAAAGGATCCATAATTCTGCTTATTGATCTATAATATTGAGAGTAGTATGAATCAAACTGAAAAATTGACAGCCATTATAAAAGAATAATTAGTAACTACCAGGAAGTTTGTAACTGAATGTATTGTTTGCTTAAACTGTTATCTTACTACCTATTAATGTCTCCACATATTTCACTGTTGTTCATTCACTCTTATTTTTATGCATATTATGTAAAAATACATGAGTCTGGTTTTTCAGTTAATGTTGTGGTAGTTTTCTCATGTTACTAAATAATCTTAAATATAATTTACACTTCAGTAACATTCGATCATTTCATTCTGCCATGCTTTAGCATCTCCTTGCTTATCTCTGATACTCATTCTTTTTTTCTACGGTTGTCATATTCCTTGTGTTGAATAATTTCAGGCAAAATAAATATCTAAGTCAAATCATAAAAGGATTTTCATATGATAATTATATTAAGTAAATTCACACTGAATAATTTTTTCCTTAAAAGAGCTGCATCTTAAAGATGGTAATGGTTTTCATCAGCATATTCTACATCTGGCTGTCACTTAACTTATTCTTGGCTTAAAAATAAGATTTGGTTTACCGTTAATGACACAAGATTTTTCTTTGGAATTGAAATTTGAAATTTTGAGTAGTAGTTAGTAGTGAGCAGAATTTTAAGCTTTTTGAGTTGTAATATTGTGTAGTTGCTAAGTCATGTTTGAGTCTTTTGTGACCCCCATGGACTGTAGCTTACCAGTCTCCTCTGTCCTTGGGAATTCCCAGGCAAGAAGTCTAGAGCAGGTTGCCATTTCCTTCTCTAGGGGATCTCCCCAGTCTTGGAAGATCCCCTGAAGAAGGGAAAGGCTACCCACTCCAGTATTCTGGCCTGGAGAATTCCATAGACTGATAGTCCATGGGGTCGCAAAGAGTCAGACATGACTGAATGACTTTCACTTCACTTCTGCATTGTCAGGAAGATTCTTTACCACTGAGCCACCAGGGAAGCCCTTGAGTTGTAATAAATATATGTAAAATCAGTTTTGGAGACAATAGTGGGTGTTACGTTACCTTTGAAGTCAGCAGTAATAAAAAAAATAGTGTATATACTATAGTATACAGTAATGTTTTTTTTCATTTACTTATTCATTTGACAGATATTTTTTGAATAGCAACTATATGCCAGACACTATAGTATAGACATGGGGTACAGTACTGAATAAAACGGTGAAGTCTCTGCTCTCATGGGGCTTCCCAGGTGACGCAGTAGTAAAGAATCTGCCTGCCAGTATGAGAGATGCAAGAAAATTGGGTTTGATCCCTAGGTCAGGAAGATCCCCTGGAGTAGGAAATGGCAACCCACTCTAGTATTCTTGCCTGGAAAAATCCATGGACAGAGGAGCCTGGGGGCTAAAGTTCATGGGGTTGCAAAAAGTCAAGACACAACTGAGCATGCCCGCTCTCTGCTTTCATGGAGAGAGAAGAGTGTGTGTGTATGCGTGTGTGGTGCGGGTTTTTACAGGGAAGCAATAAAGAACATACATTGTATCAGGTAGATAAGTGCTTTGAAGTAAAATATAGAGGAAATGGAGATAGAGAATGACAAATAGTTCTCTATTTTAGACACTTAAGAATGAAAATATTGGTTGAAATCCACAGAGGGATGGAAGGAAACTACTTCAATAATATAAAGAAATAATGAAGTAAATAGCTTATTAAATGTGATTTTCATTTGTGATATTCCATATAAGGGTATCTCTTATATTAAATTTAACCTGTAAGGTACTCAGACTTTCTTTATTCTTTTAATAAATAGCTTTGGTTGGAAATGTTTGTTACTTTTTTGTTGATTCTACCTTACTTTATTTTGGTGGGTTGCATCATGATACTGATTCTCTATGTTAAGATATTAATTTTTCCTTGGGATACTGTAGTTAGTCCATAGACAACCAGAAATGCCTGACATTGATTTTATAGAGGTGAAAAGCACACATATTGTCTTTAGTTAGTAAAGGTAAATTATATTATAAGAGTAGAGAGATATCAAATAAACCATTTTCTGATGTCTGTATCATCAGCATTTATAAATAAAATATTTTCAAATGATAAATTTTTATTGATAAATTTTTCTGCCTATAAAATAGGTGAAGTAACTTTAAAGACAATAAGATTTATATAGATAGATGGAAAAGTAAGTATATTTTGTGGCACAGGAGATGAATAAGAATTTCAGGTCCTGAAAGTTAGACAAGATTAATATGAAAGAAAGAAAAATACTGCTTCAGACAAAGGAAATGTTGCTTTCAAATGGTCTCTCTCTTTCTGTTTCTCCCTCCCTCTCTTTTAGAAAATCTGAAGTAATGATTATGGATGACTTAGAAACCTTTATTTTTCTTTTCTTTTTTTTTTTCATTTATTTTTATTAGTTGGAGGCTAATTACTTTACATCATTGCAGTGGTTTTTGTCATACATTGAAATGAATTAGCCATGGATTTACATGTATCCCCCATCCCGGTCCCCCCTCCCACCTCCCTCTCCACCCGATCCCTCTGGGTCTTCCCAGTGCACCAGGCCCGAGCACTTGTCTCATGCACCCAACCTGGGCTGGTGATCTCTTTTACCCTAGATAATATACGTGTTTCGATGCTGTTCTCTTGAAACATCCCACCCTCGCCTTCTCCCAGAGTCCACAAGTCTGTTCTATACATAGGAGTCTCTTTTTCTGTTTTGCATATAGGGTTATCGTTACCATCTTTCTAAATTCCATATATATGTGTTAGTATACTGTAATGGTCTTTATCTTTCTGGCTTACTTCGCTCTGTATAATGGGCTCCAGTTTCATCCATCTCATTAGAACTGATTCAAATGAATTCTTTTTAATGGCTGAGTAATATTCCATGGTGTATATGTACCACAGCTTCCTCATCCATTCGTCTGCTGATGGGCATCTAGGTTGCTTCCATGTTCTGGCTATTATAAACAGTGCTGCGATGAACATTGGGGTGCACGTGTCTCTTTCAGATCTGGTTTCCTTGGTGTGTATGCCCAGAAGTGGGATTGCTGGGTCATATGGCAGTTCTATTTCCAGCTTTTTAAGAAATCTCCACACTGTTTTCCATAGTGGCTGTACTAATTTGCATTCCCACCAACAGTGTAAGAGGGTTCCCTTTTCTCCACACCCTCTCCAGCATTTACTGCTTGTAGACTTTTGGATAGCAGCCATCCTGACTGGTGTGTAATGGTACCTCATTGTGGTTTTGATTTGCATTTCTCTGATAATGAGTGATGTTGAGCATCTTTTCATGTGTTTGTTAGCCATCTGTATATCTTCCTTGGAGAAATGTCTGTTCAGTACTTTGGCCCATTTTTTGATTGGGTCATTTATTTTTCTGGAATTGAGCTGGAGGAGTTGCTTGTATATTTTTGAGATTAATCCTTTGTCTGTTGCTTCGTTTGCTATTATTTTCTCCCAATCTGAGGGCTGTCTTTTCACCTTGCTTATAGTTTCCTTTGTTGTGCAAAAGCTTTTAAGAGAAACCTTTATTTTACAAAATATCTAATTTCATAGGATCAGTCAACAGTGTATTTATATAAAATATTATGTTAGGATTTGTAATATTAAGGAACAACTCCAAGTGACACTGTATTTAAACTGTTTATATCTAGTATTCTTACTTTGTAATATTTTTGGAACTAGTGTGATTTTTGCTAAAATAGTTTTTTTCCTAAAGATACCATTTATGCAAAATTTTCAACATATGCTTTACAAAACAGAAGTACTTGAGAATAGGGTTTATCCTTTTTATCTTACTCAGAGTCAGGTGTAAAGCCTGACAGTTTTTTTAACAATTTATTAGTATATGAATAAAAAATAATTAGGAAATTTCCAAGTGGTCATTTCATATGTTAACACTGCCTTATTTTTTTTCTTCGTGGCTTATAGAAATGATCCAGGCCTGTATGTGAATTACTTTGGTGAATCAGAGGAAACATTGAATAATGAGTGGTGCAGCTCTGGGACTCGAGATTGTTTTTGTCTTTTTCCTGGCGTTATTCCTACTTCATCGGTATGGAGACTTTAAGAAGCAGCATAGACTTGTCATTGTTGGAACACTACTAGCTTGGTATCTCTGCTTTCTGATTGTCTTCATACTCCCTCTGGATGTTAGTACGGTAAGAGGTGAAACTAATTTTCACAATTTAAAAGGCACTTGTAATCAGATAGCATGTTTGAGATATGTTTTTAAGACAGCTCATTTATGTAAAAATCAACTTGTATTTTAAGCAAGTGTTATTGTATGAATTTGATCACTAAAATGCATAGCCAGGAAGGTAATTTTGGGTAAACAACTTGATACATTCCAATATCCCTTAAGTACTTGGTAACTTTTTGGTTTTCATTTTTAAACCATGCCTTTATTGCTTTAGACAATATACAACCGGTGCAAACATGCTGCTGCAAACTCAAGCCCTCCTGAGGGTAGCAACATGACAGGATTGTATGCAACTGCTACCCCGGTCCCAAGGTACTTTCTTCTTCTTAAAAAATGTTGTAGGGGGCAGTTTGTTTAAAAATTGTCAGTTTTACCGTCTGGATTTTATGTTTATAAAAGTTTATCCTCATCCTCTACTCACCTCCCTTCTTCATCCTTTGCTAATAGACTTTTCATTACCTGTATCCTATTTAAATTTTAATCTTGAATATATTTTAAATAGTTACTGGCATTCAGGACCTCTCAGTAGATGCTAATAGAAACTTGGAGAAGACCTGATTTTTTTAGTGCCTTACTAAGAATAGATTTCCAAAAGCTGTTTTTCCTCTCCAGTAAAAAAAAATGGGGTGTGCATTTTCTTGTTTTCCTAATTTACAAGGTTGTAATGAAGGAAGATTAGGTTATTCTGTACATAGGATATTCCTTTGATATATGTGCATCCTTTAAAAACATTATGGTTTTAGACTGAGAATAAAGTTCAAATTATCAAAAGGAAAAAGAAATTATCAAAAGGTTATCTTGAATTCATATCAAACTTCCCAGTAAAAAACTAATAAGTATTGGCTGTAGCTTTTACCAGTGCTTTAAGTAGTATTACATACTTCTTTATGCAGCTTTTATTTATTTATTTTTAAATCAAAGCTAGATAAGGGTGAATTTTAAATGTAGTAGTTATTCCCTTTTGAAGCACCACTGTGGATTGTTGGAAGCCCTTGGACTAAAGAGTAGCTTTATAGTTTAGGAATGCTGATTATTACTGAAAGAACCTATGGTCAGATACACATGTTTTCAGAAAATTCAAACAGAATTATGTATAGATGCTGGCATCTGTCTCCATAGGACATATGCTGTAGTGACTGATAAGTTAGGGTTCCAGTTTCTAGGACTTAATCACCTAATACCTTTTTTTCTTGCCACCATAACCAACCCACAAATGAAGTGAGTGGGTATTTTAAAGGTAATCATCTCAAGAGTTTGATTTCATTATGCATTTACTTTTAAAGCTGTCACTTCATTAGTCTATTAGTACATTATGTCCTCATTTTATTTAAAGACTTTAAAAAACATTGAAAATTTAAAGGCACCTCCTTAAAACAGCTTTGTTCCCTTTGTGTGTTTTTTGAACACAGTCAGTTTTGAATTTTAATTTTCTATAAAATTTTATAAGTTAGAATCCATAATTTAAAGCTGAATGTAAGTGAACTTTGCCAACACAAACTAATTGTGCAATTCATTTAAGTAGCATATGATTAATTGGCTTTAAATTGTTTTTAAATAGCCAACATCCGTGTTTCAAGCCATGGAGTTATATTCCTGATGGAATCATGCCAATTTTCTGGAGGGTAGTATATTGGACTTCACAGTTTTTAACATGGTAAGTGGTGGTGAAAGATAAAATTTTTGATATTTTGGCTAAATTTTAAAAAGTGATTATTTTTTCAGTGAACTTTCATATTTTAGAACTTACTTATGTCATATTTTCCCTTAAATCTATATGCTTTCTCTCCTCATTGAGGTCTGTCTGATCTTAAAAGGAATGAAAAGAAATAAATAAACAAAAAGTAGAAAACACAAAAAATTCTCCTTGTCACCATTTCCTTTTTGTTACTGCCTTCTTTCTGGACCTTCTTCAGTTCTGTTTTCTTCAAGTCCCATTGTTATGTGACACTGGTCTCTTGCTGAGGTCATCATTAACCCCTGGTGTTCTGTGCGCTCAGTGCAGACTTCTGAATTTCCTTTATGTGCTGCATTTCTGTGGCCCGTTTCTAAGTGTTGGTGTTCCCCAGGGTCCCATCTTTGGTCATCTTGTTATCTGACTCTCCCTTAGTAACTGTAATTATAACCATGGTTTCATTAACTTGTGATGCTTTTTTTTCTACCCAATATAACTTTGTCTTTCTGCTGTGCTCCAGACTCATTCATACTTTTTCCACTGCCTATTGAGCATTTTACAATAGATATAATACAAGTAAACTGGAGGTGGGGAACATGGCAAGAGAAAAATCATACAGCAGAGTATAGGATCCCTGTAGCATGCACATTGAACTCGGCTAGTTCTTCAACATTGCCAAACTTTGATCCTTTGATTTTCTCATCTGTTTGCTCTTCATTCTTCACAACAAATCTTTCCAGTCACTGCAAACTTCAGCAGTGATTGTGACTCTCTCTCTCTCACGTCCTAGAAACAGTCACCTTCTCTCGTTGCAGATGACTTTACTTTCTGCCGTCAGTGAAAAAGGAATCATCAGATGGCAGCTCTTTTCAGCTTCTCACCAACAAACCTGTCTACCTGTCATTTCTTTCCTTCCCTCCAAGAATGTAAGAGTCATTCTTAAAGTTAATCCCTCTTCCTGAAATGTAGACCTATCTCCTTCAGCTCTTGTTACAAAACTCAAGTCAGAATCCTTTCCAACTTTCTGTCTCCCCCTCGATGATCTACTCATCACTGCTGTATTTTTTTAGGGAGACTTTTTTTTAAAGTATAAATTAGTACACCCACAGACTGTATTTAGTTTGACTTTTCTTCCAAGTGAATACACCCATATAATGAGCACTCAGATTGTGATATAGAACATTAACAATATCCCCAGAAGCTTCCCACATACCCCTCTCCCAGTCATTAGGCTCCCCAAAGGTAACACATGATTTTGACTTCTATTACCATAGATTAGTTTTGCCTGCTTTTTCAGCTTTATAAATATGGAGTTATACAGTATGTACCTTTTTGTTTCTCTTTTTGCTCATATATTTGGAAGATTCTTCTGTGTTGTATGTCTCAGTATTCTAACTTTTTTTAATTTCTGTGAAGAGTTCTACTTTTTGAATATACCATAGTTTATTCTGTGTAGCCAAACTTCTAAAATTGTCTGCATTTTGTGTCTCCATTTGCTCACTGCTATTGGACCCTGTTTTCTATCGTCCCTTCTCCACTTAAATGTACAGGCTCTTAATTTACTGACCTCTTGGCAGCCTTTCATTTTACTGTTTCCTCTCTCCACTTTCAAACACTTTATTCTCCATGTACTTCGTTTTCTTCCAGAATTCTTGACTGTTCCCTCAGTCTCCTTAGTTGGCCTTTCCTTCTGTTTGTCTGCCTTTCATTTAAAAGTTGATATTTTTAAGGCATCAGTTTCAGATCTTTCCTTCTCATTCATTCTATGTATATATTCCCTTCCAGATCTCATCTACTGATGTTATTTCAGTACCATTAATGTGGTGATGACTCCAAATCTGTCTGTGTTTCTGTTCGTTCTCCTGAATTCTGAAGCTGGACGTCCAGCTCTTTCCTGTGCAGCTCCTGTAGGATGTGCCCAGGATACTTCCCCTGACGTTCGGGCTTCCCTGGTGGCTCAGTCAGTCGCTGAGTAGTCTACCTGCAGTGCAGGAGACCGGGGTTCAATCCCTGGGTCGGGAAGATCCTCTGAAAGGAAATGGCAACCCACTCCAGTATCCTTGCCTGGGAAAGCCCATGGACAGAGGATCCTGGTGGGCTACAGTCCACGGGGTTCCCAGAGTCAAACAACTGGGGGACTAAACCTACCTGTACTTCAGGATCAGTATACTGACAACCACCCTTCTCTCCTGCTTCTTACCACACCACCACCCCTTACCCATTCTAAATAGTTACAGTTTTGTTCCATTTAAGCCCATTCTCCATGTTGAACTCTTACCAGTCCATAGAAAACAAAAGTTTGGTCATGTCTCCCTTCAGTTAAAGAAAATGATTCCTCACTATTCTTTGGATGTAATCTAAATAATTCAAAAAATCTTTAAAGGCCTTTTTCAGATTCCTTGTAAGTCAGAGCGTACTGTTGTACTCTCTGTTGATCATTGTTTTTGCTCCCAGGAATATGCTTTTCTCTCCCCAGAATTTAATGTTGGAAACATATTCAGCCCTCTGTTATAGTTTGGTTTAGTGTTATTACTCAAAATCATATTGATTCATGAGAAGAACCACACATTAAAATTGAGATTTACATGTTTCCAGTATTTTGAAATTGTACCGACATGTCAAGTGTTTTTTAATCATATTTTTTCTAATCATCCAGGATTCTGTTACCTTTCATGCAGTCATATGCAAGATCAGGAGGGTTTTCCATCACTGGGAAAATCAAAACTGCACTAATTGAGAATGCAATCTATTATGGCACCTATTTGCTGATTTTTGGAGCATTTTTAATTTATGTAGCTGTCAACCCACACTTGCACCTAGAATGGTAAGATAAACCATGTTCTTAACATTGTTTCTGTGTACATTTGCATTTTTTAAAATTAAATTTTATTTCATATGCAAGCAAACATTTTATTGGGAAACCTACCATGACATGTTTTATGGGTTCCCCCCAAAGAATATCATAAAAATCCATATTACTGAGAAGGAAAATATGGAATAACATCTTCGCATATACATATTAGTCAAGGAACTGATGTTTTATCAAAGAGCTATGTTGAAGTATTAACTCTTATGATTTTTTCATAGACTTTAAAGTTTTTTTGTATGACTAAATACCTGGGTTTGTTTTTCATCATATCATCACATATGATATATGTGAAGAGTCATATCTGAAAAGTTTAGGAATAACCTAAGTGATAACCCTTACTGTTGGATTCTTGAAGTTTGTGTGTGTCTGCTTCAAAACAAAATTTTTTGAGGCTGAAAATTCTTTCAATCTTCTCTTGGTTAATATTAAATAAGAAAGTGCCTAATGAAAAATGTATTTTCTCCAGGATAATTTTTGCCATGAATTTTCCTAAGATTCTAATTTTAACTATAATAGAAGCAGTGTTTGCTGTGTCTATTTCTGCAGTCACACTCTTAACTTTTCATTACAACACAGATTATCTGCTGTTACTAAAAGAGGAGCTAAGATTTGAAGGTTGAAACTTTTCATATAAAATTGGATCTATATCGTAGGGCAGTTGTTTTCTGAAAAACCATTTAACACTAGTTAGTTTCATTTTACATTTTTGCCAGAAAAATTTATCACAGCTATCTGCTTATGTTTTCTCTTTCTAAGGAACCAGCTTCAGACAATTGGGATAGCAGCTGCAAATACATGGGGTCTGTTTCTTCTTGTGTTGTTGTTGGGGTATGGCTTGGTAGAAATTCCTCGGTCATACTGGAATGGCGCAAAAAGAGGTTATCTACTCATGAAAACTTATTTTAAGGCAGCCAAATTGATGACAGAGAAAGCAGATGCAGAAGAGACTTTAGAAGATGTCATGGAGGTAAGCAAGTTCAAATCCTGGAGTCAACAGTCATCAAGTTTTGTGTATCACTTTTTGTATACACTGTTGGTTTTGTTGGTGGTGGTGGTGTCAACAGCATACTGGTGGACTTTAGACTGAAAACTGGTGATGTGTAATTCTAAAGAATTTCTCACCCATTCAGATGACTCATTGGCAGTTCAACTTTGTAAGATATCCTCTCCGTCTGCTAATTGACAGAGATGTAGGGTGAATGTATTTAACAGTGCAGGCTTATGCTTGTTGTCCTGGGGTAACTTTTAGTAGTTAAAAGTTGAGACTCAAAAAGTGTCCACAGTTAAATGATAAGTTACATAGTTACCATGACAGAGTAGAAATGAAAATTGAAATTAAAGGTCAGGCTTCTTCCTGAAAGTTTGACCCAAAGTAATCCCACCAAGTCTGGAAACCTCTTTAGAGAACAATATTCATGGGAATTTGTATGCCTCAGTTTTGTTTTCTGTCTATAATCTTAATAAGGCACTTCATTTTGCTCACTTGTAATATGCATATAATTTGAATAAATCTCATAAAGTTGTTGAAAGTATAAATTTCAATAATATACACCCAAAAATACAACAAAGTACAAAATTTTGCTGTTGAATAATTTAGCTGATTTTAAAAAAGAATGTAGTCACCTCAAATTTTGCTCTTCTGTGAAAATATGCCATTCCAATAATGTTATTCTTCAGCTTAAAACCTTATACTAAAGGCTTTCATTCATGTTAGAGTAGTCTCCAAGATGTTGTAATGTGGCTAATCAAAAAATGATTTGACCCATGTTTAGTTCTTCAGCCTTATCTCAAGCCTTTGGTTCCTCAAACTTATTAATGGTGATGATAATAGCAAACATGTAGGCAAACAAATATATGTAGACTTAGAGACATATTTGCCTAAAGCACTTTATATATATTAATACATTCAATTCTCAAAGCAGCCTTATAAGGGAGGGTTTTTTTGTCCTTGTTTCTGTTAAGGAAAATGAGACACAGAGAGGGTAAGTTTCCCATCTTCACACAGTTACCAGGTGATGGAACCAGGCAGTGTGACTCTAGTTTGTGCTTTTATAGGGACAGGCCCTTTTCTGTAAAGGGCCAGATAGTAACTATTTTAGGCTTTCTGTGCCATATGCTCTCTGTTGCAACTGCATCACTGGCTGCTTTAGCATGAAAGCAGCCATACCCAATAAGAACGAGCAGTGGATGTGTTCAGATAAGAACAGATGGTGGACTGGATTGAATCTGGTTTGCCGACCCCTACTCTTCACCATTATTTCATTGCTTTCTTTGTTCTGTTTTTGAGTGTGGTGTTCTCAAATTCTTGGAACCCTCTTTTCTCCATTCTCTTTCGCTAATTCCTACTTCATTTTCAGTTCTCAATACAACTGAGAATTCTTCAGGGAAGCCTTCTCTGGTAGTTTCCTGGGGCTGCCACAACAAAGTACATGAACTAGGTGGTTTAAACAACAGAAATTTTTTGTCTCAGAGCTCTGGGGGCTAAAGTCCAAGATCAAGGTGTCAGCATGGTTGGTTCCTTTAGAGGGCTATAGGGAAATTTGTACCACATCTCCTGTCTTCTGATAGTTAAGTGACAATCTTTGATGTTCCTTAGCTTGTAGATCTCTCTGTCTTATTCACATGGTATTCTCCCTGTGTGCCTCTCTGTGTCCTAATTTCCTCTGTTTATAAGGACACCAGTAAGATTAGGGGTCCACCCCATTCCAGTAAGCCTTTTCTTGATTTAACCAGTTAAAGCTGTGAAAGCCCTATTCCCAGATAAGATTACATTATGAAGTACTGGGTGTTGAGACAACATATGATTTTGGGGGGAACAGAGTTCCAACCCATAACACCTCCCTTAGTTCTCTAAATTCTTAGATACTCAGCAACCATTTTTAAGTGAACAAAAGAATGAATACTGATTCTTTGATTCTGGTTGAAAACTTTTCTGTTGACTTTTCAGCATTTATTTATAAAATGTTAAGAACTGTAGCATTCTTTAGGCATATGATGGATATTATTATATTTTTCAAAAGAAATTAATTTATATTTGGTAATTTTTATACTTGATATATTTGAAATTTTTTAACTGAAGATTTGAATTTTTAAAAAAATTTGAAAATTTATATTTGATAATAAAATAATTAAAAGATCATTTGATAGCATTTCCCTCAAAAGTTTGTATTAAAATTCAGTTCTTTCATATTTAAGGAATATAGATTTCATGAGTTTATTCAAAATTCCTTGACCAAGTATAGATTAAATGCAGTTTATTATTTTAGATCTGGATTTTGCCAGGAGGAACCTTTAGTATCTTAATAAAGATAGATTTTGTTACTGTTGTTGTTTTTAGGTAGGAGTCCTGTACTTAGAAATAGGCTGTGGTAAATTAAGGATTGGAATTGATGCCTTCTTTGCTATTTTAGTATAGGTTTAAGGTGTGAGGGATTTAAAAAATTTTAGATAAGAGAAAATTTTCCATGTGAATAAGTAATCACTTTTTTTAATTGAATATATCTGATGTAAGTTCAGTTCAGTTCAGTCGCTCAGTCGTGTCCGACTCCTTGTGACTCCATGAATTGCAGCACGCCAGGCCTTCCTGTCCGTCACGAACTCCCAGAGTTCACCCAAACCCATGTCCATTGAGTTGGTGATGCCATCCAACCATCTCATCCTCTGTCATCCCCTTCTCCTCCTGCCCTCAATCTTTCCCATCATCAGGGTCTTTTCAGATGAGTCAGCTCTTCGCATCAGGTGGCCAGAGTATTGGAGTTTCAGTTTCAGCATCAGTCCTTCCAATGAATATTCAGGACTGATTTCCTTTAGGATGGATTGATTGGATCTCCTTGCAGTCCAAGGGACTCTCAAGAGTCTTCTCCAACACTGCAGTTCAAAAGCATCAATTCTTCAGCCCTCAGCTTTCTTTATAGTCCAACTCTCACATCTGTACATGACCACTGGAAAAACCATAGCCTTGACTAGATGGACCTTTGTTGGCAATGTAATGTCTCTGCTTTTCAATATGCTGTCTAGGTTGGTCATAACTTTCCTTCCAAGGAGTAAGTGTCTTTTAATTTCATGGCTGCAGTCACCTCTGCAGTGATTTTGGAGCCCAGAAAAATAAAGTCACCCACTGTTTCCCCATCTATTTGCCATGAAGTGATGGGACCGGATGCCATGATCTTAGTTTTCTGAATGTTGAGCATTAAGCCAACTTTTCCACTCTCTTTCACCTTCATCAAGAGGCTCTTTAAATTTAAGGTGTACAAAGTGTTAATTTGATCCATTTTATATTGTAAGAGACACTCTTTTCTTAATGATTGTTTTGCAAATAGCAGGAAGTTCCCATAGATAAAAGAGTTCCGGACCTTTTTTACCCCCCCCCCCCCCCCCCCCCGCCGCAAAAAATATGGATTTCTTTGTCCATGTATTTTAAGGGAATTTGGGGTCCTTCCTGTTTTCTGAATGTCTGAAAATTTATAAACTTGTGGAGAAAATTTTTTTTATCATTTAATAAAATAAAATCATTTTTATCATTTAATTAAATTATCATTTAATAAATCATTTAATATCTTCCTGCCATCTGAAGTGCTATGTGGAATGAGCTATTAGGGTACTAACTGTCTAGGGTACAAAATTGTACAGTTCCTCACTGTATATGCCAAATGCACTGTAAATGATGCGTGCCGTAGTGTTGAGAAGTTTCGCTTCACAGTAGCCATCAGTGGAGATGAAATGGAGGAAATGAAATATGACCTGGGCCTTGAAGGAAGTGTAGAATTTTCATAGCTGACAGCATTCTGCTCAAATATCAGGAGATTTTAAAACCAAACTAATTAAGCATAAGATAAAATAGAAAGTTTGTAAAGTTTGAAAGATATAGAGCCATATAGGAGGGCCTTGAAAGTCAGACTGAAGTCCAGACTATATTTTGAAAGCAGTGAGGAATCATTGACACCTTGTATATGGTTTAGGATAACCAATCAGATGGAGGTGTGCAGAATAAAGCTTGGAATGAGACTATTGATAACTTAGTTTGAGAGAAAACTTAAAATACACTGGTTTTGAATACATCTTTTAGCAGATCATAGTCACCTTTTTAGGGGGTAATTATTAATTATATTTTTCAGCTATCCATAAAATCTCCCAAATACATTTTATAAAAACCAGTTTAGTGTTTTATGATATGTTTTCCATGGAGTGAATTATATATATCTTGTGTGTCCATTACTTTTCTTTGAACCACTAATAAAACTTACAAGCTATGTCAAATCATTCAAAAGAAATTTTTGCTAGATGGCCAGAGGTCACCTCTACCTGCTGTCATTTTTTGAGGCAGATGATTTTGGAGAGGGAAAAAACAGCTACTTATTTCCACTGAAAATTGCCTTTTATTCTGATTTGATGTATTTTGTCTGGTGAAGAGTTGACTATAATGACACAGAAATGACAGAGTTCAAATTATGTTGAGTTGACTATAATGATACAATAATGACAGTTCAAATTATGTTATTTTATATGAAGAAAAGCTACTATTTCAAATACTTTCTGCGCTTTATAAAAATTATGAACTTTGAAGGAAATTTAAACTCATAAAGTATAGCCAATATCAGTATTTTATTACTTAAACTTAACTTTTGTATAAAGGAAAAATACTTTCATATATGAAATATAAACAGACTATAGTTTATATTCAAAGTTATGGTAACAAGTCAACAGAACTTTAAGGTAGCTTAGAAATGGAAAATTGTAATGTAAGGGTTACTTCAAGCACCTTTTAAAAAGCAAAATCTTTCTATTCTGTTTTTAGGCCTGTTCATTGACCTCAAAATGAACTACTGCTAAGGCCTTCTGGAGTACTTTGCTCTTACTCTTCAACCTGATCAAGCAGTACTCAGGCCATTACTCTGCTTTCCTGTTAGTCACTGGATTTCTTTCACTTTCCTGAAACTGCTTGTTCTCTTCTGCTTGGAGGTTTTCGTACATGCTGTCCCTCTGTCTGGTATATTCTTACTCTTTCCTTTGATTGCCTGGCTCCTATCCTCAGTTTAGCTTTTTATCTCAGTTTAAAAAATCAGTTCATCAGAAAACTTTCCATGTGAGATTATAGAGCAGTTTTCACACCTTTTCTATTTGAATCATATCTGCTTTCTTCACTCAGCTAAGCTCTTTGACAGGAGCAGTGTCTTTTGGTACAGATTATTCATGGGTCTGCGTATTTTAAATTTTGGTGGATATTGCTAAATTATTTTCCAAATAGGTTATTTGACATTTTATTGTATATAGGAGGCCTTTCCCCCTACAGTCTTCCCTCATTACAAAATAGCAATTTTTTATAATTTTGCAAGAAAACTGTCCTCATTTAAAAAACTTGTAGTTTTTTTTAGTGAGGTTGAATATTTTTTCAGTTATTTATTGGCCAGTTGCATTTCCTTTATAGCTTCCCATTTTTCTATTGATTTTTAAAAACGCTTCATATATTAAGGATAGTATTTTTTTCCATATATATTTTATTTTTTCACAGCTTTGTTTATACACCCTATGGTTTCTCTCCCTCCAGTTTTACATCCCTTAAGGCCATTCTCTACCCTATAATCAGAATGTTCTTTTTAATATTCTGGTTGGTTCACTCTTGCCTCCCAGCCTTTGAACATCCTGTTTCTTCTTCCTAGAATAGTGGTTCCAACTTTTCAAAAATTTCCTGTAGTATTATAGGATATTGTGATTCTTTGAGAACTAGTGCTTCTAAAGATTCCCTTCCCTAATGCCTTCATGCCTTTCTTACTCTTTAAATTGTTTATTTAATTATCTCATCACCACACTGTAATCTTAGTTAGACTTAAAACACCATGTCTTCCCACTTCACCCTCCAGTATGGATTGTGATGACCTTTCACCTAGGACAGTGCTGACATATAATGTACTCTTAATCTTAAAAATGTGGAATGAATCATTAGTTGTGACTGCTGAAAGTACTCTGTTGTTGGAAAGGAGCAGGTGCTTTGTGATATTTTTAGCCTGTTCTGCTGCTTCTGGTTTCTTTGCTGCATTTTAGATAATGAGGTAATTGAGCATGAGGAGCAAGGTGGAAGAACCAAGTCTTGTTCTTTTAGAATTGCAAAGTCTGACTGATCCTTCATGAGTTTTTCTAATGCTTATTCATCTTTGTATACCAAATGATAAGGCAGTAAATTTAGAAATTTTAGAAAGTGTGAGGGTGTAGATAAATTTGTTCTATAATTTTATATTTTTATTTTTGTTATTAAGAACTTTTATTCAGAGAATGGAACTTTATTATATGCTGAGTAATTTAGGTTGTTACTAAACTTGTGAGAATATATTATAGTACCTAGAGCATCCTGATTTGAAACACCTAATCTATAGAAATGGAAATATTTTTATTTCTCTTACTGTTCTTATAGGAAGTTCGTAAAGTGAATGAGAGCATCAAGTATAACCACCCACTGAGAAAATGTGTTGACACAATACTTAAAAAGGTAATTAAATAATACTCCCATCTACTTTCTTTTGAAATATAAATCTACATAATGTAATATTATAATAAAAGCATCAGAAAAGTACACAAACAGCATATGATTGACATCTTCCAGCCTTTTCCATTTTTATGTTAACAGTAAATTAATAATAATTTGTACATAAAATTTGTTAGTTATTATACATTTAACATTATTTATTGGCAATATTTTCCATTGAAATGTGGCTATAGAGATTATGTTAAATATTGTAAAATCATTGCTCTGACAGAGATGGACCTTTATAGGTTGTAAAAATGTCATTAAATGTAGTCACCAGAGGCATATCTCCTGTAAGAAAATAAACTAAGTTCTCAATAATCACTTTTAAGCAGCTTTGTACGTGTTATTTTATAAGCATATTTCATAAAATAAATGATATTATAAGATATTTAATGTAGATATTTAAAAAGAAACTATACAATTAAGATTTTGATGCCTTAGTATTGAATTAGAGGTATTCATATACTTCCAAAAATGATTATTTTGTAAATGAGTTTCCCAGTTATCTTCTTGGCAACCATAGAACCACTGAACTATTCCCTTTCTTATGTTTATTTTTAAAGACTTGTATGTCTTTTTTTTAATTCAGGTAGCATTGATTTATGACATATTTTAAGTTTTGTGTGTACATTATATTTCTACTTCTGTATACCCTATACCATCCTTACCACCAAAATTTATTTTCCATCAGCCATACAGTGGAAACCCTTTATCCATTTTACCCTATCTCTATTACTACTTTTTTCTCTATATCAATGTTTGTTTTTATTTAGTTTGGTTTATTCATTTATTTTGTTCTGTTCATTTATTAGTTTTTTATACTCCACATATGGGTTAAATCATATAGTGTTTTTCTTTATCTGACTTATTTCATTTAGCATAACACCCTCCAGGTCTATCTGTGTTGCAAATGGCAAGATTTTGCCCTTTTTGATGGCTGAGTAGTATTCCACTGTGTGTGTGCATGCGTGTGTGCATGTACACATATACCACATCTTCTTTATCCATTCATTCATTGATGGGCACTTAGGTTATTTTCTTGGCTATTGTAAATAATGCTGCAGTGATCATAGGGGTACAGATATCTTTTAGGATTAGTATTTTCTTATTCTTTAGATAAAATCCCAGAGGTGAGATAGTTAGATCATATGGTAGTTCTATTCTTAATTTTTTGAGGACTCACCATACTATCTTCCATAGTGGCCTGCATCAATTTACATTCTCACCAATTGTGTGTGAGGATTCCATTTTCTCCACATCTTCACCAACACTTGTTATTTCTTGTCATTTTGTTAATAGCCGTTTTGATGATTTGCATTTCTCTAATAATTAGTGATGTTGAACTTCTTTTCAAGTACTTGTCCACCTGTATGTCTTCTTTGGGAAATAAAATCTATTCAGCTCCTCTGCCCATTTTTCCGTCAGATTATTCATTGTTGAATTGTATGAGTTCTTTACATATTTTGTATATTAATCTCTTATTGGATATATCATTTGAAATTCTTCCTCTCATTTGGTAAGTTGTCTTTTCACTGTATTGATGGTTTCCCCTGCTACACAAAAGCTTTTTAGTTTGATGTAATCACATTTGTTTATTTTTGCTTTTGCTTCCCTTGCCTGGATAGACATATCTAGAAAGATATTTGCTAAGAGTGATATCAGAAAGCATCCTGCCTATATTTTCTTATGGGATTTTTATGATTTCAGGTCTTACATTCAAGTCTTTAATCCATTTGGGGTTGAGTTTTATATATGGTGTGCAATTGTGGCCTAGTTTAATTTTTTTTTTTATTTTTTTCATGTGGCTATTCAGTTCTTTTCCTGTGTTTTAAATCTGTCATACTAATCATTAGCTAGTGTTTCTTTTGACTAAGATGAGTCATGAGAATCAATTCTCTAATCATTTCTCTTACATTTGCTACCTTTTGAGACCTATTTATGGAGGTTAACTAACTTGCCCAAGTTCATAGATGTATTAAATGACAAATAGTAGGGTAGGTGACTCCACATCTGGAAGATATTTGCAAGAAAATTGGATATGCTTAAGAATGAAAGATTCTTAACAAAAATTTTTTTATCTCTTTGCAAATAAAATTTCTAAAAATCTACTTGTTCCTTTTAGTGTCCTATAGAGTATCAGGAAAAAATGGGCAGGAACATGGATGATTATGAAGATTTTGATGAAAAGCATAATACCTACCCAAGTGAAAAAAGTCTGGTAAAACTACATAAACAGGTAACTTTATATAGCCTTTTTACCTTCTGATGATTTTAGTTGGATTTACTGCCCACAAAAAAGGAGTTTTGAGTGAATGTATGTCAGAAACTTCCTTTGTTCTTGTCCTTATCATTATTCTTGCAAGTGTTTTAACTTCCTGTTTCTTGACAGGAGTACTGTTGACATTTTGGGAGGAGAATTATTCACTGAGCAAACTGTTACATATATTACAGAATATTAACATCCTCAGCCCCACCCATTAAATGCCATTAGCACTTCCCTGTTGTTGTGACAACCAAAACATGCTCCTTAGTAGGGAGTTGAATCACTGTTGTTTCAGAGCACTGACAGGTATACCCTCTGCTGTCTTTTTAAGGTGATTTATTCAGTTCAGCGACATCGTCGAACTCAAGTACAATGGCAGATTCTTTTGGAACAAGCATTTTATCTAGAAGATGTAGCAAAAAATGAAACAAGTGCTACTTGTCAGTTTGTTCATACCTTTCAATCGCCAGAGCCAGAAAATAGATTTATTCAATATTTTTATAATCCTACAGTTGGTATGTAATTTTTGATATACATTTCAAAGTTTGATGCTGATAATTTTCCTGATGGAAAGTGTATATTTTCACCAATGCAGAGTTGAATTATAATTGTGTTTTTTGACTTACACCAATTTGAGTTTGATGTTTCCTCATGATCAGATGCAGGTTCTGCATTTTTGGCAGGAATACCTCAGCAGTAATGTGTCCTTCTCAGAGCAGGAGGCCCATGATATCAGTTTGTTCTGTTATTGGTGATCATTTGTTTAGGATGGTGTCTGCTTATTTCCACCAGTATGTCTCTTTGCAATTATGTATCTTGTGTGGAGGAGTTTTGAAACACTGTAAATACACTGTTGCTTCTTTATGTTTTTCCTAATCATTTTTTCTTTTTATCTTACAGAGTGGTACTGGGAATGTCTTTTGCGACCCTGGTTTTATCGGGTACTTGCTGTGGTGTTGTCCATATTCTCTGTGATAGTTGTGTGGTCAGAGTGCACATTCTTTAGCACTAGACCTGTCTTATCCCTCTTTGCAGTCTTCATACAGCTGGCTGAAAAAACATACAATTATATTTATATCGAGGTCAGTTTATTTTATATCTGTCATAAATAAATGTCAGTCATGGTTTAAGTTTAATCCTTAACTGTTGTATCTTTTCTCCACATATTTCTTCTGATAATAATGAAAGCAGTGAAGTTCCCCACAGTGTTATTTTTCAGATTTCCAAAAATGAGCTTCATCATTTTACCCAGACCATAAAAACTAAGAACTGTATTTGAGAAGAGATGAAAAGATGCAAAATAATGCACAATATTTTTATGAGAATATTTTGATCCTCTTTATGCCAGTGAAGCTAGATAAATTATAGTTCTCATGTGAAGAGTTGCCAAGGGAATGAGAGAACAGGCTCACTTCAGGAGGTAGATTTGAAACTTATGGATAGGATGTGGGACTGATTAAGATCTAGATTTTTTTTTTCATAATTTCATTTTCTTAGGTGGTTAAACAGCTGCTATTACTGTCTTTAAATTTTAGAATGTCAATAAATGTTAGTTGGAAATGAAAAGATAATGCTTATAATAGTATATAAAGTACTGAAGTCTGTTAGTCTGAAACTGGGTTTTTGTTTTGATTTTTCAGATTGCTTGCTTTCTTTCCATCTTCTTCCTCAGTATCTGTGTTTATTCTACTGTGTTCAGGATTCGTGTATTTAACTATTACTACCTGGCTTCACATCACCAGACTGATGCATATAGCCTTCTTTTCAGTGGCATGTAAGTAGACTGTTGTTTAGAAACAAGGGAAATGTCTCCATTATATGAAGGTCTCTTTTATTTCTTGTTGTTTATGGCTCTTTTTCTAACACCTATATTTCTATGAGCTAGTTGCTTAGGTTTAAGTATTAATTAGATGCTTGTTGATTGCTAGCTAAATCCTGCTTGGTTTAGGGTTAAAATAGGTATGCTAGATTAGGAAGGAAAAGAAGGGCATAGTGAGTCTGGATTTACCAATTAGAAGTCAGTAAATAAGTTAGTAATAATAGAAACATTTGAGATTTTAGAGACTAAGTCTAGAAAGTGTTCTGAGAATCAGAAAAATTCAGTGGTCTCACACTGAAAATTGTGGAGGACTAAGAAGACCAAAAGAATAATTTTTGCTAAGAGATTTAGCAGAATTTTAGAGAGATGGCTCCAGCTTGGGCTAAATTGCACAATCTATTGTTTGTCCTTATTATTAAACTAGTTATATTAGGTTTTTAGGGCTGGACTTTGGGAACTTCAAGAGGAATCAATATCTGAAGCATCTCTAAGACTTTTTTTTAACCTTTTTTCCCCAAATAATTATAGATTCAAAGGAAGTTGCAAATACAATACAGAATCTTAGTAACCTTCACCCTGCCCCAGTGGAGACATTTTATACTGCTGTTGTACAATATCAAAAGCAAAAAATTTACACAGACACATTACTGTTAACTAGACCACAACAGACTTTATTAGTTCTCACTATTTTTTATACTTTATTCGTTTGTGTGTGTGTGTGTGTGTGTGTGTGTGTGTGTGTGTAGATTCCTATAACCACAACCATAATCAAGATACAGAACTATTCTGTCACCATAAAGTAACTCCTTACTTCACCTCTTTATATTCATACCCTCTCTTCATTTTCATCTCTTCCTGTTCTCCAGCTCCTTGTTTTGTAAGGTTCTTTGTTTATCTGCTCATAACTCCCCAGAAAGTAGGCATAAAAGGAACATACCTCAACATAATAAAGGCCATATATGACAGGTCTACAGCAAACATTATCCTCAGTGGTAAACAACTGAAAGCATTTCCTCTAAACTCAGGAACAAGACAACGGTGCCCACTTTTACTGCTGTTATTCAACATAGTTTTGGAAGTCCTTGCCATCACAGTCAGAGAAGAAAAAGAAATAAGAATCCAGATTGGAAGAAAAGTAAAACTCTCACTGTCTGCAAATGACATGATTCTCTACATAGAAAACCCTAAAGATGCCACCAGAAAATTACTAGAGCTAATCAGTGAATATAGTAAAATTGCAGGATATAAAATTAATTCACAGAAATCCCTTGGATTCCTATATACTAACAATGAAAAATCAGAAAAAGAAATTAAGGAAACAGTCCCATTCACCACTGCAATAAAAAGAATAAAATACTTAGGAATGAATTTACCTAAAGAGACAAAAGACTTCTGTGCAAAAAACTATAAGACACTGATGAAGGAAATCAAAGATGACATGAACAAATGGAGAGATACTAGCACAAAAACAGAAATATAGACCAAAGGAACAAGATAAAAAGTCCAGAGATAAATCTGCACACCTGTGGGCACCTTATCTTTGACATAGGATGCAAAAATACACAATGGAGAAAAGACAAGTCTCTTCAAAAAGTAGTGCTGGTCGCTCAGTCATGTCCAACTCTTTGCCACCCCATGGACGGCAACCTACCAGGCTCCTCCGTCCATGGGATTTTCCAGGCAAGAGTACTGGAGTGGGATGTGTGATGGGCAGAGATAAGGGTATTTCAAGTGAGAGGCTGGTGTGTAAGGGGTCATGGAGGGCAGCAAAAACAGTACGAATATAAGAGTAACATGCATTACTTACTGAGAGAATACTAAGTGGAACGATTTAGCATTAGTCAGTGATCATGTTGGTGAGCAATGGGAAAAATCGACGAAGAAAGCCTGTCTCTGAACACAGCAATGAGATCAGGAAGCTTGGACATTTTATTACAGGACTTGTGGGACTTTCCACTATTTCTCCCTCTTGTATAACTGGTAAGTCTTTATACAGGAGTATTTTTATGAGTCAAATAAGTTGGGATTCCCCCTTGGTTTATTTCTGGGAGACAAAAAGTTCTAAGATCAATTCTAAGACTTGGCTTATTAAAACACAAGTATTGTTTGGATATAAGATTAAATTATTTCAGAAAAAAAAATGCAAGTTTTGTTAACCTTTGAGAAAACTAAGCCTTATTTATGAAAAAGTGGAGGGAATGACTGAATTCACAATGACATATAAAACAAGCTGTACTTCATGGATCCCTTGAGCAAAAGGCCTACAGAACTATTTAAAACCCAAAAGTCTGCTTGAAAAAAAAAAGTAGTGCTGGGAAAACTGGTCAGCTGCCTGTATAAGAATGAAATTAGAACATCTTCTAACATCATACACAAAAATAAACTCAAAATGGATTAAAGACCTAAATGTAAGACCAAAAACTATAAAACTTTTAGAGGAAAACAGAGCACTCTGACATAAACCACAGCAAGACCCGCTTTGTTCTCCTAGAATAATGGAAATAAACAAGACCTAATTAAAAACTTTTGCACAACAAAGGAAGCTATAAGCAAGGTGAAAAGACAGCCCTCAGAATGGGCAAAATTAATAGCAAACAACTGACAAAAAATTAATCTCCTAAGTATATAAGCATGCAGCTCAATACCAGGAAAACAAACAGCCTAGTGTAAAAGTGGGCAGAAGACCTAAACAGACATTTCTCCAAAGATGACATACAGATGGCTAATAAACACATGATAAAATGCTCAACGAAGCTCATTATTAGAGAAATGCAAGTAGAAACTACAGAGAGATATCATCTGACCAGTCAGAATGGCTATCATCAATGGCTATCTACAGACAGTAAATGCTGGAGAGGGTGTGGAGAAAAGGGAACCCTCTTACACTGTTGGTGGGAGTGCAAATTGACACAGCCACCACGGAGGACAGTGTGCTGTGCTGCTGTCCTTAGTTGCTCAGTCTTATCCAACTCTTGGCGACCCCATGAACTATAGCCCACCAGGCTCCTCTGCCCATGGAATTTTCCAGACAAGAATACTGGAGTGGGTTGCCACGCCCTCCTCCAGGGATCTTCCTAACCCAGGGATTGAACCCGAGTCTCCCGCACTGCGGGCGGATTCTTTCCTGTCTGAGCCACCAGTGAAGCCCAAGGATACTGGGGTGATAGCCTCTCCCTTCTCCAGGGGCTCTTCCCGACCCAGGACTCAAGCCAGGTCTCCTGCATTGCAGGGGGATTCTTTACCAGCTGAGCTACCAGGGAAGCCCGAAAACAGTGTAGAAGTTCCTTTAAAATCCAGGAATGAAGCTACCATACAACCCAGCAAGTCTACTACTGGGCATATACTCTCAGAAAAACAGAATCGAAAAAGACACATGTACCCCAATGTTCATTGCAGCACTATTTACAATACCTAAGACAAGGAAGCAACCTAGATGACCACTGACAGATGATAAGGAAGTTGTGGTATATATACACAACGGAATATTACTCAGCTATAAAAAGAAATGCATTTGAGTCAGTTCTAATGAGGTGAATGAACCAAGAGCCTGTTGTCCAGAGTCAAGTCAGGAAAAGATAGACAAATATATATTAAAACATATACATGGAATCTAGAAAGATAGTGCTGACAACCTTGTTTGCAGGGCAGCAAAGGAGACAGACATTTTGGACACAGCGGGGGAAAGAGAGCGTGGGATGATATGAGAGAAAAGCACTGAAGCATATACATTACCATATGTAAAATGATAGCCAGTGAAAAGTTGCTGCATAACACAGCAACAACCTGGATGGGTGGGATGGGGAGGGATGTGGGAAGGGGGTTCAAAACGGGGGGGACATGTATGCCTAATACTGATTCATGCTGATATATGGCAAAAGCTGTCACAATATTGTAAAGTAATTATCCTCTAATTAAAAAAATAGAATATAATAAGAAAAAAAACTGAGCTCCAACAGTTATTTAAAGCTATAGTTGTCAGAGTTGACATAATGTGTTACAGCTTCAGATCTTTTATGTACTGAGTACAATTCACCTTGAGGATTGAGCTAAATTGCACAGAAGAGGCACATACAAAGCCACTCTACAAACTCTTGGGATAAAGCAGTGGCAAACCTCACCAAAGGAGGCATCCTGAGGCTGGAGTTTCGTTGTGTAGGTGTTGATGTTTTTCAGGAGACTGTGGTATTAATAGGACTTTCAGAATGTCTTCCAAGTAAGGGCAGTTCATAGTAAGAATTCAAAATACAAATAGATGAGAATAATAGAATGATCTGAAACATTCTCGGTGTATTTCAAGATAACATAAAATGTGTGTTGCTGCTTTATTCTTATATATTGTGTTTGTTTATGCTTTATTGCAGGTTATTTTGCCGTTTGACTCCTCCTTTATGTCTTAATTTCTTGGGTTTGACCCACATGGATTCATCCATCTCTCACCAAAATACACAGCCAACTGCTTATACATCTGTAAGTATGGTAAAAAAGAGTTCTTTAGATTCATTATCTATATAGGATGCTATTATTGTGAAATTTCTTTTCATTGCTGGAAAACAGTTCTATTGCATTATTAGAATCTTTTTAAAAATTACCAAAACTTTCTTTTACACATTGTATATGTAGTTACTAATGACTGGATAAAGGTGATATTGCTTTTGTTTTATTAAAAACAAAATTTTTTTGGTCCAGCTAAGCAGTATTCACAGACCTGACCTATAATAATATTGACCTTTATGTTTATGGTCTTAATGTAATTGATGATTTTCAGTAATATTTATATAATGTTAATTTCTTAGGACAAAATAAGCCATATGAAGATATAATAGACACATAACATTGTATTATTTTAAGGTGTACAACATAATTAGTATATGTATATATTGTGAAATAGTTATCACAGTAAGTTTAATTAACATTCATCACCTCAGAATCACAGTTTTTTTCCTCTTGTGATAAGGACTTAAAAGTCATTCTATTTGGTGCTTCATTTCTACTTTTTTTAAAACTCCAAATTTATTGATGTAGCTGGTTATAGATAAATTTTCTAATGATGAAAAGAATGAAATATATAGAGCTGTACTGATTTAACTAAATTTTTTTCTTGCTCCTCAGATTATGGGTTCCATGAAAGTTTTATCCTTTATTGCAGATGGGTTCTATATATATTATCCTATGTTGGTGGTAATTCTCTGCATTGCTACGTATTTTAGGTAAGACACTTAACATTGCTTGTTTTTTCTTATATATGTATCCTGATCTGAATATCTTTCTCCTTAAAACTGTTTTAAATATTCACTGATTGGCTTTTAGTTGTTTGTTTTATCGTGGCTTTGGGAATGCTGGGGATAATTTAAAGAGATCGCTTGAGTGCTGGGTCAGGGTCTCCCTCCAAAGATATTTTCAAGAAAAGAGAGTTATTCTAGGTATTTGTTCTACAAAGTGATAGGATTAATAACAGAATGTTAACTCTGAGTTCTGGCCTTTGGTCATGGCAGCCAGTGTATCTTATAAAGCACCTGCTTGCCCAGCTTCTATTTGGTAACATGTATTAGTCTTAGGGCTTTCCACATAATAAATTTTGAGTTTCTAGATGTTTCAGACCATAATCAGCACAAAAGATCAGGTAAGGAGCAGTCATAATCAGACAGTACATGGAAAGTACATGGGCTACTCTTTTTATCAGATCAGAAAAATTGATAGAACCTTTGCAGAGATCAGACTCAAAAGGAGTTGACAGGTGTCCTTGGCTTCTAGCACCTTGTCTTCCCTACTTCCACATTAAGTGCCTTCATCCTGTACTCTGCCTACCTTCTTCACTGCTTCAGTGCTCCATGACAGACCAAAAATGCCACTTAAAAAAATTTTATTGATAATAAGTTTCATCCAACCACTTTTCATTTAAATCTTTCAGTAAAATTAGTTACTACAAATAGTTTACAAATAGCATATATTATTATACTGATATTCTAACACTTGGATATTGAGTAAAAAGACATATTGTTTGAAATAAATTCTCTGTTGAATTTTTTTTAGGCATCTATATTTTATCGTCTCATAAGTAAAGGAGCCAAAAGATTATAATTTAAAATAAAACTTAATATGAACTGGTGAAAATGAAAGTTGCTCAGTCGAGTCTGACTCTCTGCTATCCCATGGACTGTAGCCTATCTGACTCCTCTGTCCATGGAATTCTCCAAGCAGGAATACTGGAGTGGGTTGCCATTCCCTTTTCCAGGGGATCCTCCTGACATGGAGATTGAACCCAGGACTCCTGCATTGCAGGCGGATTCTTTACCAGTGGAGCTATCAGGGAAGCCCATGAACTGATAAAACAGTATAATATTTTCAGCTTTTTTCTGTAAAGTAGGAAAGACAGAGGTTTATATTTATTATGAAAATGATGTATTAAAAGTAAGAGACCAGTCATCCTTTGGATATCCAAAACTAAACTTTTTTTATGTGCTTATTCATTTAAAAAGTTTATAAACTACAAATGGAACATTAAGAGCTTGTGATGTATAAATCCTGTCGCCTCATCTTAGTGGTTATGTTGGTAAGATTAGCATCTCTACTTAAGGTTAGCATCTTATTAGATTGACATATGCATCAAGGAATAGATGGATGAGATAGTGCCTTGTCAACTATAAAATTTTAATGTAAGGAATGATGTATATATATTTATATATAGAAATATACTGTATTATAGGAATATTTGAAGAAATGCCTTGCAGACATTTCAGTATTAACTTGACTTTATAGGTCGATTTTCTTTTGGAATACTGCCATAATAGTTTTATTTCTTTATTACTAGCACATAACCATACTCAGACCTATTAATAATATTCAGACTTAACTGCCTAGAGCCTATAAAGCTGTTTCTGGATACTTTAGACAAAGCTACAACCTTTCCAGAGACAATGATCTCATCCTGCAGTATAGTATTCCCACAAGTATATAAGGATGGTAGGGGAGTATCTAAAGTCACAGAATTAGCATGACCATCCACCTGAAACCCCAATTTTACTCACTGGTAAGTCATACAAGCATTCCTTGTATATTAAAACAAGCAGATAATTTATGAACTAGTCAGATTTTTACACGTCACTGATGTAAAATGGGAGATCTTTGCTTTTTCTTAATTGTTTCACTGTTTTCTCTTCTTCCTAACACACATGCTTTCACATACACGCTTTCACACACACACACACACACACACTCTCCTCCCTTTTTTCTTCCTCTCTCTGCCTTACTTCATGTATGGTGTTCGGAATTCTGCCATTAAAAGTACATTAGTGAAGAAGTTTGAAAACTAAGGTAGTAAAAAGAACTTGGTCTTTGTTTTGTTTTGGATATAAATCCTCAGCTCTAAAATTTATTAATTGGTCCTTAACAAAGTATTTAACGCCCTTTGCCTCTGTTCTTTATCTATAAAGCAATATTTATCTCTTAGAGTTATAGTAAGAATTAAATAAGAGTATCTGTAAACTATCTGATGCATAATAGTAGTTTAACAGATATCAATCCTTCCTTATGTACCATATTTTCAGAGTATTCCTGTCCTGCACAACAATGAGGTTTAAAGTAAAAACCAAATAAGATATAAATGATAGCCCCCAGATAAGCTATAGTAATCAATTCTGAATTTATAGAAACACTGATTTAAATAGAATTGACTAGTTCTCAGTATTAAAAAAAACATGAAAATCAGTTTGCATAATTAAGACTTTCTAAGCCAAGAATATTCTGCACTTGTAAATACTGGTTGTGTATGTGTATTAAAATTGCTGTTTGAATACAAGAAAAGGATAAATTGCTTTTGTATTATAGCTATTGCTTAGCATCCTGGTATAATAATCTTCTGAAAGTATGCTAGTGGCCTAACTTAATTTGTGTCTGTAAGAAGTCGGGCTTTGGAAAAAAAAAAAAAAAGAAGTCGGGCTTTGGTGCATACCTTAGTCAGTGGAGTACTGGGCATTTAAGTTTCTTAGAAAGGGAGATAAGTACTTGAAGAAAGACGAGTGTAGTGCTGTATAACTTGACATGATAATTAGAAATACAACAGAGGCTTCCAGTGTAAACATTTACAGTATGAAATAATGCTTATCTTTTTGAAAATCTACCTTTATTAGCTTGGGAACTCGTTGTTTGAATCTACTTGGTTTCCAGCAGTTCATGGGAGATAATGATATGACATCAGACTTAGTTGATGAAGGAAAAGAATTAATCAGACGAGGTAAGATTTTTCTTTTAAAATAAATGAAGAGAAAGTACTGATTAAAAATACAAAATTAATTTTTGTATGATTTGAAACTTCTATCTTAAGAAATTACAAATTAATGTGTTTTAGCTAAAATTCTATGGAAAGCCTTCATGGTAAAAAAAAATTTTGAAAACATACCTGGTTATTTCATCTGTCGTTAAGAAATTCTGTAGCAGAAATTATTAATATGTCTGTGACTAAATAATTCCCTTGTTTAGTATTGGAGTCATTGTCTTGTTTTCTTTGAAATATATTTGTCAAACTGAATACAATATAAAACTCATTAAAGAATCATCATTAGTTTAATGCTGCATAGGTTATCATTCAAACCAAGGCTGGTGTTTAGAATGTAGTCTGTTAGAATGCATTGTGCTCTATTGGAATCTAATCTCAAAACTGAGTGTATCAAATTTCTTGATGTTCAAGTGATGGTAGAATAGGGAGGAAAAGAAGAACAAAACTTGAGTTTTGGGACATTGGTTTTTAGGCATTCTTCCTACTTGAGCATGGGGTTCTTTATGATCTTATTTAAACATAAATCCCAAATGTACTATGACTCTAAAATATGCTTGTGTAGCCTTCACATGCTCTCACAGGAAGGTGGTGTCTAGTTAATGTAATAGTTCTTCTGCTGTTTGCGTTAGTCAGACTTCATCTGGAATATCATATACAGTCCTGGATAAGATTTTCAAGAGTAGGACTGATAAGTCAGAAGGAATCTGGAAAAGGATAGGCAGAATGATGAGTGTGTCAGGTGTATCTTATGGGAAAAAACCACTGAGTATATAGCCAGAAGAGCGTAATGGGAAAAAAAAAAAATCTTATGCAGAAAGAAGTATGAATTTAATTTATAAGACAAAACAAAGAAAAAGAGAAACTGCCTAGAAGCAAATTTCAGGTCGCCAGGGGGAGGAAGTTCTTCCTCACTGACACTGTTTAGATAGATCCTAAAGAGTGATCTCCAGCAAAGGTTGAGAAGGTTTTCTCTATGGAGTTAGGTGACCTCTCTGGTTCTTTCCAACAATAACCTATTACCTTTGACTTTGTAGTAATTTAAAGGAAATTGGTCATAGCCTGATACCTTTACTTCAGTTACTCTACATCTAATTAAACCATATTATACCAAATTTGAGACCACTTTTCTGTCTCTAGAGAAGAGAAAAAGGCAACGGCAAGAAGAGGGTGAAAACAGAAGAAGAGTAAGTATGGTCCTTACTAACTTGCTGTCACCTAAAGATTAATGTGAAATATCGTAAGAATCTAATTGATTTTGGCTGAAAACAATGGGACAATGACATAGGATGTATTTTTACAGAAAGGCAGTTTTAATAGTTTCAGATATACATGCTAGGAATTCTGTCAGACCTGTTCTAAAAAGTCATTAGTAATAAATTACTTCATGTCCAACATCTAGCAGTTTCTTGCCTAAGGTAGGGGCAGTAAATATTTATTGAGTAAGTGAATAAATTAATGCAGTCTTGCTGTTGAAGTGATTTTGATTGCTTGAAAAATATGCTTTTTTGTGTTACGACATTACTTTTATTCCTCTTTAATTTTTCTTTAGTCCTTTGTTTGCTAAGGCAAACTAACCTCCTAGAGAATTGAAAAGGCAAAAAATGAGAAAAGTCTAGTCATAGTCACTACAAATTTTCAACATCTGAGTGTGTCCATATTGGAGAAGTGAAGACTCAGGAGACATGATAGTTGTCTTTGTGTATTTTAGTGTATGTCGTGGAAAGGGAGACTTGTTCTTTATTTCAGAAGGCATAACTAGCACCAAAGAGTGGACTAGAGTTCACCTCTGTGTGAAAACTCAGTTTACCAAAATTGGAACAGGATGATCAAACATATAATTTTTCATGTCTTCTAATAAGAGAGCCAGATAGCATCTGGTATGGCTATTTTAGAGTGAAACTCTGCACTGCATGGGTTCCTTTCAATTCTAAAAATTTGATGAGTAGAATCCCAGTTAATAAGATTTTAGTTCAGTTAAGACACAATGCCATGTGAGTCATTACTTAATTATGTTTATCTACAACTTTAATTTTGCTATCAAAAATGACTTTTTGGGTCTCTATGATTTGTAGTTTATTTAGGTAGAATAAAATTTTATTAACGTCTTATTAATTATTTTGAGTCTCATAATTCTTCCATGGTCAAGACAACCTTACTGTAGTTGTAATATTATTTTAGATGGAAGTCAATAATTTAAAATAATCATTGCTAGCAAAAATTTTTATAAATGTCTTCAAGTTAAGTTTGATAACTATTAAAATCATTTAGAAATAAAGGAAATTATAATTTCTAAAGGCACTGTGCTAATTATACTGATTATCTGACAAATTCCTGATGAAAAAGAATTAGATTATATTACTCTACATATATAATCTAAATCTGTTATCACTGATGAATTATTTTCTGACTGTGTGTTCTCATGTTATATGTTCATGTTTCTTTTCTAGGAATGGAAAGAGCGTTATGGACACAGTAGAGAAGATTCCACTAGAAACAGAAATGTTCATATTGACCCAAAAGAATCAAACTTCTCAGAAATGAGTACTAACCGATGTAAGTAGTTTATTATCTAGTTTTCTTAAGAAATTGTTTTCTTATGCTTGCTTGTATAGAGACTGAGAAAATGCCTTTATAGAACGATAAGTGAGGTTCTGCAGTGACTTTCCTTTTTTCATCCCTCAGTATATGGGAGGAAGAGGAAAGTCAAATATGCGTTAGGTAGGAGAAGGAGACATCTGGGACATCATATGAATAGTTGTCATTATACTCTCTAAATAATAGTACTTATCCCAGGCATATTTTTGGCAGGTATCGGTTTCTATTAACCTAGATGTTTTTCAGGCTATTTTGTCATTTTTATAATAAATTACTGACTGACTGTTATGTGTCAGGTACTTTCCCAGGAGTACGAAGAAGATAATTTCCATCCTTGGTTTGCCCTTAATTGAATGAGGAACTGATACCAGGCAGAAGACATTGGCCAGTGGGTTGAATCAGGAAGCCTCCCCGCATTCTTGATTTTGTCATATGCTTCTGGAAGGGTGACAGGAGACCTCTTTGTGTGCAGCATCCAGCACTGAGTAGAAGGCAGAGGAGCGATGCAGGGATGCTGAGAGTGTATAAAGCTGCACACATGATGCTGAAGGGCTCAGCTCAAGGGAGGAAAGAGAATTCTTCATTGGGAAGGGATTTCTATTATAGAGAAACACTATTTAGGAATGAGTAGTATTTAGCCAGTTGAAGGGGTTTTTAGGCAGAACAAAGAATGAACAACATGAGAGAATTTGGGGGGAAATGTAGATTTTCCTCTATGACTAGAACCTGAAGTATGAGAAGCCTGATGAGAGGAAGGGCTACAGAGATAGTTGGGAAACATATTATCACGCTTAGAAGTTTTAGATTTTATCCCAAAGATAAGATTTCAGTATGGAAAGAAGCAGGCTCAGATTTTTGGTTTAGAAAGATGAATTTGACATCTGTATAAAGTATTATTTCCAGGGAAGTGAGACACAACCCAGTTTAGTGTCTGTTGTAGTAATGCAGTCAGAAAATGCTGAGGGCATTAATACACATTATTTGTTTTATGGAAGAAACCAACACAACATTGTAAAGCCATTATCCTCCAATTAAAGATAAATTAAAAATCAAAGAAATGATGAGAACTTAAAATAAGCATCCTGGAGATAAAGGAAAGAGGATGTGTTTGGATGAGATTTAGCATAAAAGAAATAAGAGAAAGCTGAAGTTTCAATTAAAGCTAGGAAATAGAGGGATAATTCTACAAAGATATTTGGAAGCTTATCTTGGATTTGGACTTAACAAAGTGCAGATATCTGGGAGGTATAGGAGAATGGTTAAGAGGAAACACAAAACCTTGGGATGATGAGTTAGAACCTGGCATGTGGGAGGCAACCAGTATTTGCTGAATGAATGAGAGAAACAGTGGAGGGCAGAGTCAAAGATGACAACAATGTAAGGTAAGAGAGAATTGGCTTGCCTTAAATTTTCAAAAAGAGCTGTGTCATGGTTTGTTTTGATGCTGTTGAGCTGCTCAAAATAACACTGTGAAAATTTAGGTTTTTATGGAGAAAACATCATTCATACAGGGAAAGGAGAGTTAGTTTTCTAGATCTGTGCTGACCAAGGTGGTAACCATTAGCCACATATGGCTGTTTAGCATTTGCAGGGTAGCTGGTGCCCCATATTGAAATGATAATATTTTGGATATATTGGTTTAAATATGTTATAATTAATTTCAACTATTTATTTTTACTTTTTAAATGTATTTACTAGTAAAAAGTAAATGTGGGGCTTGCAATTTATTTCTGTTGGACATTGCTTCCCTGAATTCTTGCCCCATGGAAAAAAGAGTCAGTCCTTTCTTGGAGAGTTTGAGTTGATTGTACCTTAAAATCATAGCCGAGAAATGAGATGTAGCATCCCCTGGATTCACTATGAAACCAGCTGAAACTCATTTTAATTGTGAACAATTTCACTGTTATGATTGCTGTTGTTGTTCACTCGCTAAGTTGTGTCAAACTCTTTGCGAACCCATGCACTGCAGCATGCCAGACTTCCAAGTTCTTCACTATCTCCCAGAGTGTGTTCAAACTCATGTCCATTGACTTGGTGATGCCATCTGACAATCTCATCATCTGTCGTCCCCTTATCCTTTTGCCCTCAATCTTTCCCAGCATCAGGGTCTTTTCCAGTGAATCAGCTTTTTGAACCAGGTGACCAAAGTACTGAGGTTCAACTTCAGCACCAGTCCTTCTAATGAATATTCAGGGTTGATTTCCTTTAGGATTGACTGGTTTGATCTCCTTGCAGTCCAAGGAACTCTTAAGAGTCTCCTCCAACACCACAGTTCGAAAGCATCAATTCTTCAGCGCTCAGCCTTCTTTATGGTCCAACTCTCACATCCATAGCTGACTACTAGAAAAACCATAGCTTTGACTATGTGGACCTTTGTCAGCAAAATGATGTCTCTTCTTTTTAATATACTGTCTAGGTTTGTCATAGCTATTCTTCCAAGGAGCAAGCGTCTTTTAAGTTTGTGACTGCAGTCACCGTCTGCATTGAAGTTAAATACTAATTCTGTTGCTGTAGCTGCTTCTGAGCTTAGACTACATACAAAGGAGAACTCTTCATTGTTATTTTCTATCATACTGTTAATTATCTTAATATAATTTTAAGATAACCATGTAGTTATCTTTTCTTAATATTGTCTTCACAATGAAAATTCAGATCGTTTATAATCTTGACTTTCTGTGTGTCCGTAGACTGTGACCCATAAAGACAACAGAAAGTGGAAATTTTTTTCTTCTTTTGCAGCGACATCTAAATATAACAGGGCTAATAACAGGACTGAGAGGGACCGAATAGAACTTCTTCAGGATGCGGAACCTTTGGATTTTAATGCAGAAACATTCACTGATGACCCTCTTGAATCTGAATCAGGAAGGTAAGTTCCAGTTTGTCCTTTTGGCTCCAGCATTCCTCTGAAAATTTGATAACATTCTGACTTGACAAGATAAACATAAGGAAAATATTCATCTTTCTTGCTAATGTAAAACGTATTAAGCAACATTTGATACCTTTTAACACCTGCTAATCTTTTATATTTTAAAAATTATATCATCCAGTGGTAGTAATTGAAATTAGTACCTTCATAAATTATTACTAGTAGTATGATAAATAACAAAGAATTGAAATCATTTGGTAGAATCTTAACAATATTTATATTGCTTTTTCTGACAATTCCATTTAGGAAATGCATCATATTTAGCAGTAGTTACATAGATATGACTGGGTGGCACTGTATTCTGAGCACTTTAACAACAGTAATTGTATTTTATGGCTGTAAGTCCAGTTGGAATTGAATCTAGAGAGGCTCAGGAACTTACCCAGGATCACGCAACTTTTAAGTAACAAAATCAGGCATTTAAACCCCAGGACCCTGGCCTCAGCGTCTGTGCTTTTACCTATTATACCAAGTAGAAATAATTAATTCCCTGGTGGCTCAGATGGTAAAGCGTCTGTCTTCAATGTGGGAGACCCAGATTTGATCTCTGGGTTGGGAAGACCCCCTGGAGAAGGAAATGGCAGCCCACTCCAGTACTGTTGCCTGGAAAATCGCATGGATGGAGAAGCCTGGTAGGCTATAGTCCATGGGGTCGCAAAGAATCCGACACAACTGAGCGACTCCACTCCACTCCAGAAATAATAAAACAAAAGCAAAACATCATGGGCATGAAGATATTTGCTTATAAATAGCAAGAGGAATATTCTGTTTATATTCAACAATCTAGAGTAGTTATTAAATCCAAGTTCCATGATGTATTTTATCTCTCTCTTCTTTCTTTTTTACATCTCTTATCCTGCCATATGTGTTATATAATAGGCTGTAAAACAGTTGTTGGTTGATTTATAATTATAGGTAAATCTCTTTGGGATAATATCCTTGGAGAATAAGTTTCTTATTTCAGCTACTGAATAGATTTTACAGTTCTTACAAATTATGTACCCACTTCCTTTTAATGTGTCCTTGTTTTTCTCTCCTTCTTTATTTTTGATGCCTCAGATCATTTCTTTATCCACCTTTCAGGTATCAGCCTGGTGGACGATACCTCTCAATGTCTCGCAGCAGAATATTCGATGATGTTTAAAGTCTGTAGGAATTTATGGAATAGCTAACCAAGATCAACAAACAAGTTCAGTCTTTATGAACATCCGTATGCTCTAGAATTTACTACTGAACTCCCAGTGAAAAGTGTCAGGATAAAAAAGCCACTAAAAATTAATCAGATCTTAGTCATAATGGCTTATTATTCATTGAATATCATCTTTATTTCTAAAAGAATTTGTTGCATACCATTCCTGAAATGTCTGCCTTAGAAAGTTACAATGGAAGGATTTAATTCATGATCAAGATCAGTATATATTGAAAACATGTAGTTCAGTTTGTTTCAGATTAATTTTTTCAGGAAAAATTGTTTTAAAGATTCAAGGAAGCCATAGTTAAAACTGAATATTATAGTTTATTATTGTGATTTACATATTTGTTCTTTCTAAAAAATATGTTGATCCTTTATTTCCCAAAGAGATGGAGACCTCAGTAATAACCATATTTACAAAACCCATGTCTTAAAACAAGGCTTACTTACCAGACATAACTGAATGTAGAAAGCCCTTTTTCAACACTATATGCAAATTAGTTAGGTTTTTGCATGTATATTTAAGACTATACTTCAACTGATAGTGTTTGTATCTTCAGCATGTGTACTTTAATCAGGTGGTGAATTATTCTTTCAGTCTTTGATAGTAACTGCAAGTTGTCTTATGCTTTTGGTATTGCTTTGTAAAAGATTTTCATTTCAGAGAGGAATGTTCACCTTTACCATTTAAGTGATTTGAGTGTTGATCATTCCATTCAAGGAGAATCATAATTTTTAATGGTAAATAGTGGGGTTTTGGTGCCTCAGGTGGTAAAGCGTCTGCCTACAATGTGGGAGACCCAGGTTCGATCCCTGGGTTGGAAACATCCCCCTGGAAAAGGAAATGGCAACCGGCGCTGGTACTCTTGCCTGGAGAATCCCATGGATGGAGGAGCCTGCTGGGCTACAGTCCATGGCGTCATAAAGAGTCGGACATGACTGAGTGACTTCACTTTAATAGTCAGAGTCCCACAAAATTCTCCACTGTTAAAAGCTGGCTATTTATTCCTTGTGAAAAAGAATATCTGGTTATTTAAAGATAAAAAGTGAGTCCATTTACTGTTACTGCTAACACTTAAATTGTGGTTTATAGAAAACTAGAATGGAGATATGTAAGAATTTGTTGCTTAAACATGTTACCATTTTAAGTTGAGTTTTTAAAATTTTGTGTTTAAGCCAAAGTTACATATTACATTTTAAATCATCAGTGTTTTATGCACAGTGACTATAGTTCAGCACATTTTGCAAAAAGAGTTGTTTATGTCCCTGAAATATTTGCAACTCTTTGAGAATCCATACCATGGATTCACCCAGTGGTGACTGTACTTGAGCTTCCCCACGGCCATCTTAGTTTCACTTGTTATCCTAAAAGTAGTGCTCATTTTCACTCTTAAGTATTCCAGTTTGAGGATGAATTATATAGTCACCTGACAGTTTGATTATATGTTTCTTGAAGGTCATTTTTCCCTGAATCATAATTTTAAATGTTTTATTTCTCTCTTTTCTTGGTGTTACCATGTAAATATGTTAGAAGCCACAGTTTTGGCAGATACTAAAAGGATAGTGTTATCATCCTAATTATCTTATTTTCTTAAATTTTTATGATCTTTAAGATTAGATCCCCTTTAAAATAATTATCAGTCAATAGATTTTCCTCTCAATCGAAATTATATAGACTACCCATTTAAGAAGACACACACACACAGCCTTTTATTGCGAAGCATGGTCAGAGAGCAATAGGCCAAGAGCACAGATAATTTAACACTGTAATTTCATGACTGACCATTGAAACCTTGGGCAAATCAGGTAACCTTTCTGTGCCTCAGTTTCTTCATTTTCAAAATGAAGAGGATACTTGCTATTTATCTACTGATCTACCTCACAAAGCAATTGTGAGGGTATTGAGTTGATGTTTATATAGTGGCGTTTAAAAAGACAAAATAAGTTATTAGCTATGCTGGTTTTCCACACAAGTGGTCTTTGAAGATACTAGATAGGAAATGGATCACCCCAGAAAGTGGTCCAGTTTCTTCTTATTACAGAGAAGCTTACAAGTTCCCAAAGCAAAAACTCTTTCTGGAATAAGTAATCAAAATCCTGTGAAAATAATATTGTTTTCTTATTTAGTCTTTGAGTTTACTTTGGAACATGTTCCTTAAGTATAATGTTGTTTCTCATAGGTTTTATCATGAAACTCAGATGGTATTGTAGAAGTAGAAGCAGAAAAAGAGAAGAAATGATCCAGTTACTTTTATAATTTATAATACTCTAAGATATATTGATAGAAATATGTAAAAGATGTACTACTTTATTTTATTATTAATTTTTTTAATGATTATAATAATTGGAGTGTATGTAATACTTCTATAAAACAGTATAGATCCCCTTTATGACTTTTGAGTTATTTCCAAAATAATTTTGGTTGTTTAAGTGATCCAGAGTATTCAATTGTTTAAGCAGAATTTATGTTACAGGATTTCATGTATGATCATATAGGAAGATTACCTGGCTGGGTAATTTTGTGTTTGGAAGTTAATTATTTAATCCCTGAAGTCTTAAGAGTTTATTGCTGGGAAACTAATATTTGTTAAGCAACTTTGTAAAATCTGTAATATGAACAAAAGTTTTCTGTTTTGAGAATCTTACTAAAATGACATCTACTGCAAAACATTACTACTAAATTCATATACTTTACATGCAAAGTACATTTCTTGAAGAATTACTTCTGACAATTACTTTTTGAGTGTTTCTTATACTGTAATTGATTCCTAGTTAAACTTTCTAAATTATTTTTCTAAATAATTGTTAGAATATTCAGTAAGCCAGTGTTTAGTAAGCCATTGCAGAAAATAACAATTAGTAATCTGTTAATTTAATGGATCTGTAAGTTGCTATTAACTTATGTTATTACATCAATAATTTGTTATTATTAGAACTTTAAAAAAATCATTATTAAAATAAGACTAATTATTAGAATTTGTTCTCTTACCAGATGAACAGGGACTTTGGAATAATTTCATTATACTAGAGGCCCTCATTTCACAAGAGTCATAAGAATTAAATAAGAACTTTCAAGTGTTTTCAATTTATAAAGAATAGATCAGAGGATTGGACAATCAAAACTTTTTAAAAAATTGCTGCCAATTTGTTTTCAGACACTACTATTTTATTAGATTATCAGTTCTTAAGTGTATGCTGGTTGTATACCCAAATGAAGTTAAATGTGGATAGGAAAGTCTGTGTTTTTTTAAGTATATTTTAGAATATTAATGAAGGAATTCATTGATATACAACAGCAAACCTCATTTTTGTATACGTGTAGTAGATTTAGAGAATGTTCTTGATTTTTGTGTAGATTACTGTTTTAAAGGAAAAATAAACTCTCCATAATTTTAATTCATACTGTTCAGTAATGTGAGTTTTATATTTGTGATTTGTGTGGGCCATGCCTGAAAATCACAAGGATAAATATATTTGCACTAAGAGGCAGAACATATCCCTGAGAAATCTTAACGTACTTGAATCTCCAAAGTGTAATGGATAGTATTTATTAAAGCCTAAATGTTAATAAGTAAATGGATTTAGACTTTTATCTTTCCCTTCTTTTCTCCCTTCCTCCTTTCATTCCTTTTATACCTTCCTTCCTCTCTGAAGCCTGTCTTTATAGTATGGCTTATAATGAGCTGACATATTTTTCTTCTGTTTGTTTGGTGTATACAGTTGTTTTTGATGGTTAGTACACTCAAAAGGTAGTAGTTCTGACTACAGATCCCACTACTTGAATGGTAGTATTGCACTTAAAGTAGTACAACAGATTTTGCTAGACAACCAAGCAACATCTGGATGTAAATATGAGGGATGCTAGCTCAATGTGTTGTCTTTTTCGCCACTAAGTAGGACTCTTCAGTAAAATGAAATATTCTCAGTGTAGATGTTTTAGCATAAAATTACATTTTTAAAACCAGTGATTATTAAAAACAAGCAAACAAACCCCAAACATTAAAAACCTTGAGACCTCATTTTATGAAAAGGAGTTTGTAAATAACATCCATCATGTCAAAGTTTGCATTAGAAGAGGTTGAAACAATGTAAGAGTGTTACAGAGAGCCCTCTGAAATATTAATTCCCTTTGTGTGGGTTACTTCTTTTCAATACAGTGACTTATTTTTCTGCTCAGAGACCTGGAAGACTAGGCAGTCTTATTCCCTGTACTAACTCCTGGAGACCAGGTCCTGTGAGCCATCACTACCATCAGAGCAGCTATTAGCCCTGCCTATCCCAGTCCTATTGCAGTGGAAACACACCCACACTCCTAATTCCTTTTATGTTCAGCTTGGTTTTCCTAACATTTATATCCATTGTGGTAGATTGAAGCCTCATCGCAATTTTAAATTTGTTAATGAAACAAGAATAATGGCATGTTCCTCTTCTCATAGATATCCTAAAAGACTTTTGTTTTTAACACATTCCCTGGAGAGAATTAACCTTTTTTCCTATGAAAATCTTTTCTTTTGTGGTTATCCTGATCTCACATCATTTTGCAAAAGGAGATTTTTACTGTACTTAGTGGAAAAGAGTAGAAAGAATGGTTTACTGTGGCAGACATATGTAAAATAAAGTCATAATTTGTTAATCTGACTGTGCAACACCATTTTGAGTTGGTATTATTGACACAAGTCTTATCAATCTAGTCACTTAGAGCTGTATTTCTCTAAAGAATGCTGGCTAGCATCTTCCCTACTTGGTACGCCAAATTGTAGGGGAGAGACTGTTTTTTTTTTTTAAGCAATCCAATGGATTTGTTTTTGTCCATATTTTGTAAAAAACTTGAACTTTTCTCATTTCGAAGATAGAGAACATGTGGACCTATCTTTTAAATAATTGTAATCTAATATATATATTTATAAATTATAGCATTGGAAAAAGAGCTCTAATAATGATGTTGTTACTTC